GTTTTCTCCTTTCTAGTGAGCAATTGAAGATTAATTTTAACCCATCTATTTCTGGCAGATTAGATATTGGATACCAACAATTCGTTGTGACTCTCTGATGTCCTTGAAAGCGTACAGTTTTGCTTGTGTGGCTGGTTTAAATTTTACCACAAGGCAATGAAAAGGAAATCATTGTTTTGGGCATTTTTATTCTTTATAATAGAGCAACAAATCATGCTTTCCAGAGTCGAAATGCACTCGTAGGCTTCTTTCTGCCTACAATTAATATCTAATACAGCATCAGAGTTGGCTAGTGGAAGGTCAGGGATACCAAACTCACTAACTCTCAACAACAATGATCAACTGCACTCAAAACACTTTCATGTTTGTGAAGCCAATATTTTGGCTGTATAAGTTCCAAGACATGCACTTCATTCTGGAAGTATCCCCTTCCTGGTTTTATATTACCATTAAAATGACAAAACCAGAGAAAAGGAAGATGAGAGACAACAAAATGATTGACTAGATTAATGCTTGTTTAGTAAGTAGTGCTGAAGATGAAAATGACTGCAGGAGGTGCGTGCCTCATTAATGTCATTTCCATAATGCAATCTTCTTGATATTAGTTAGGATATATTTAAGGACAATAAAGGACCACGCTCAACCAATAGCCAACTGTATTCATCTATCTATCCGCTCAACAATAATTTATTTAGCAACTTCATAATTTCATAAGTGAACAAATCAGTTTCCGCTGAATGCTAAAAATATCTTCCCTTTTCCTAATTCAACCTAAATTCATGTTCTCATTATCACTTAATTAGCCTTCCAACCTTCTCACTTCCAATGAAGAGCTTGACTCACCATACCAGACAATCAGTGAAAAATGCAATATTATGAAGCAGAATTCTGCCATATTCTTAAATTCATTGTCTTTTGCATCATTTGCTAGCTGCTTCCACTTCTTTAAATGGATGCGAGGATCCCCATTCATAACAAGTTATATGACCTTTCTGGTCTACTTTTGCAACCGTTGCTGATTCCAACAATGAAGTTTTAAAAGAATATGCAGTGTAACGTTCCTTCATTTGGCATATAATTGCACAAAATCACCTGCCATAAGAGACAGAAAGTTGAAAAGAATAGAGCCAGTGTGCAACACCTTTGGAGCTACCAGTGTTCCTATGGTGCTAATCACATAATTATTACGTTTCATCTATAACGTGGATCCAGGCTTGAAATCCTCAAGGGACATGACAACTCAGTCATTCTGCATTCTGTCTTACTCTATGCAGAACTTCTGGGGCGAGAAAAATATAAAACACATATACGAATAATCTATTGCTGATAGAACTACAAAAGACTAAGGAAATTGAGGCAGATGTCAGAGTTCTACCGTTAAAAGTTTAGTTCCTGACACTGACAAAGAACATTTTTGGCATGGATATCGCATCTTCTTTACTTATTAAACATGAATATAAGCATTCCTGGTGGACAAAACACCAATGTCCAGGGAACTCTTTCACAGGATTTATTAGAAGGATACTTTTGCTGGTATTATCTATCACCTTTGGTGGGCAAGAAATCAGAAAATCTATCAATCATCTGACTTACCAACAAGTTTGGCCTATACTAGCACTCTAACTGATGTCATGGCATTACCTGCCAGTTTGAGAGGGTTTCAAATGAAAGAAGAAAACTGGGATCTCTATACTGAGTGGATGCTTATCGTTCATATTTTTATTAGCACTTATGCACCTAGTGGAGCTTTGCACTTGAGGACTAAAAAGGATGTACTGCTTTTCCACCTTTACTGATTGTTCAGCTCAGGAAAGTATACCCCTTTAACTGGTATAAACTGTAATTCTCTATGATAAAATTGACAGCAACTTTTAGGGAATAGACAATCACCACATAAGCGAGGACAAAGCAAGCTCATAGATAATTTTTTTTTTTGGTAGGGTATGGCCCGTGTAGGTAACATCACCGAAAGAAGAAAAAGTAGTAGTCCTTTTCATCATTTTTTTATAATTAAACTAATGATCTCAGATGCGGTCTTCAGGCAGTTTTGTGATGTAGGTACTCCTTTATGTGGCCTAAAACTAGTCTAACAACTGCTAGAAGAAAAGAGAATGATTTAACAAATAGACTCTTAATTCAGTGAAGCGAACTCAATTCTTACTGATGAGACAAGCTGATTAATTTGTAAAACTTATAACCGCAATAGGAAGAGTTTCTAATAGTGTTACAAATCATAGTGCAACTGAAGAATGGATTTTGACATAATGAAATCCAGTTTAAGAGTTTGTGCACAAAAAGACATACATTGTCGGGAAATGCTCCCACCTGAGTACACAATTTAATATGAAACTCAAACTTTGATTTAAAGTGGTCCTAAAAACTCAGACATCATTGAGTAAATGGAGTAGCTACTTGACAGAAATATGTATGGTAAGCATTTGTTGGATGTTGTAAAAAATTTTCATCAGAATGGTGAACTCTGCTCGCAAGAATTAGATTAGGATAATCCAACATTTAAAGTGTGAGGCTTAAAAGCGAGGTTTCTTATTTTTAAAATTTGAGGAAAAGAAAAGGATTAGCAAAATGATGATAAGAGAGACATGTTCGAGGAGAACTCCACAGCTTTCCTCTAAAAAATTATCACGTTCTTACTTCTTCATCTAGGAGTAAAAGCATTATCAATGGTCTAACAAAGAGTTGCTGCAATCCCCTCTCTTTTTTATTAGTTCTTATATATGAAAATAGATACAGGTGAAAAGAATCTAGAACACTATCAAAATACCTGGGAGATACAAAGATTGTATTGGCAACAGCAATTTGTTATAGAAGGAAACACTAACCAATTTCACACTGACACAAAAACACTTGTTCAGTAAGATATTATCTTGTAATGACTTAACAGTGTAATCTTTCCCAGGGCTTCTGCAATCGTCGATATTTCTTAAGAAGGTATCAAGTTTTGCACAGTTAGTCAGGTCTCGTTTAAAGAGTTTCTTATCAATAAAAAGTGCTGAGACATATTCCAAGAGGCAACTCCTAAGTTAAGTTTTATATGTTTTGATTAAAAGAATGCAGGGGCTCTATAGAAGATTGGGAATGGACTTTTGTGCAAACTCTTGAAGTGCTTCAGTTAGTCCATATCATCACAATCTTCAACGACATGGATTAGTATATAATGAATCGGATACCCTCCTCGCATCTTAATATACCCCTACAATTTTTATTAACCATGTTCCTGAATCTTGACTAAACTAGCGTACAAATGCATAACCTTCTACAGGTTGGAAGATAATTGGTTCTACAGTGCTTATATGTCTTTCTACATGGTTCAGAGACTGATACTGTACTGAACAAAAGAAAATAACAACTTATGTCATCAGAGACAACAGAAGTCCTCCTGGATAAGAAATTGGAGAAGTATGCTCCTAAACATTGGGGTCACGCTGAACTTAGAGATTTCACTATAAAAGGCAAAAACCATTCAGTACCCTTTGAAATTTTCCAAAAGCTATTGACTGAAAAGGACCAAATTTGTTCCATGAAATTGAAACATTTATATCACACGATTTGACACTGAAATCAAGTCCACAAACATCAATCAAATTTTTAAAATCACTGCCTGACTGTTCCATCGAACTTCCACATACTACACAATGTACATAGACAAGCATATTTTTATAAGGTTATTGCCAGAAGAGACGTGGCTGTGTACTACATGTTCACCTGCAGTCAAATGGATTAGGAGATATTACAAACAAAAGATAAACAAACTGTCATGTTTCCTAATGTTTTATGTTTGGTTAATCCCAAAAGAGTCTCCTTAACCTCATTTTGTGCTCCATTAGTGAGTTCAACAATTAGTCTACTTCCAATGCCTTTGAACTCTATGAAGTTTTATAAAACTGTAGCACATAAAAATCAAATTCATACTAATAAAGTAGTGGACTAAACTCTTAATTTTGCTGTGCTAGGACACAGTGCTCAGCTAAAACCTTTCAATGCTTGGAGCCAACTGCAAAAACCTTTCCTACATTCCAACAATTCATTGCATATAGGGAGCCCACGTTTGATGTTTTTCACCTGTAGGGTGTCAACAGAATTAAATACACGCTTAAGGAGCTTAGACTAGCATTCCAACATAAATATGTGTAAACCATCTTATATAAAGATGAATTGAGTATCAAAAAAAGTCTTTCAATACAGATCAAAAGAATTTGGAAGCTGTCACTGATTTTGAAGCTTAATCCTTGCTTTAAGTTCAACAATATTTTAAACTAATCTTCAACACGAGCTGATTTTCCTCAATGCTTAAATTTCTTCTTTTGCCATGCGACATAGGACTTCCAACAACTTTGGGTATTTCAGAGAAGTAGTTGTGGACTAGGGAGAGGACATTTACAAAATAATCCCAATGTCCATCTGCACACTCCACATCCAGGATGCACAAAGAAAGTAAGCGGACAGATTACATAACTATACTTCCTTTTGTAGTCAAGAAGAGTATCTTTGCAGATAATTTATTTATCATCTGTTGAAGAATTTTCACACTCCAACTATGGGTATACATTTGAATTTAGTTAGAAATGCTATAGTGCCAGAGAACTTTCGAGCACCAATAGCACTTGATCTCTATGCAACAAATGAGGGGATATTTTCTTCTGCAGAATATGATAAATGATATCAACAGAAATGCTAGTCATTTTAGAAAAATGGACATAAGCTGTGACTTGCTTCCATTAATCTGAAAAACTCCTGGGCAGTTCTATACTAACAAAGGTCACATTTATTTTTGTGTACAACATGATTTTGGTTGAACAAATATAGAAATCATTCTCTTGCAAGCTCACAAGTCACAATTAAAAGATGAAAGCAAACTTAGTGCTTGAAAAGGGCTTGATCTCAGATCACTGAGAGAGAGAGAGGGGGGGGGGGGGCGGGACTTGGACCAACCAAGTTGGAAACTTAATATGATAAATGATTAGTTATGTGTGAAGATGTAATGGAAGAAAATGTAAAATATATTAGCATAAGGATTATCTAGAAAATGATTGAATGCCTGTGTATGTATATAGATATATACACTTAATGTACAATGAAGATTAACTGATTCTTCAAAGATCTTGGATACAGAAATGTCGGATGTGCAGACAGAAGAAAACACACTTTTCCACTACTGTGTTAGCATACAAGTATATACGCTGTTCACAATATGCATGGCCTTAAACTTTGCAAAAGATCAAGTCACACTGCAATCAAACTATTCATGTCAATCCATGTAAACAACCATCAACAATTCTGGAAGCAAGAATCTGACAACTTTGATCCTCTTACTGGAAAGAAAGTGGTCATATTGCTGGTTCAGAGCCAAAAATGAAGCATTGCCTGCTCACAATATCAACACATCAGAAAATTGTTTGTCTGTTGTTTGACTAAAAGAAAGGTCATAGATGAAATCTAGGAAAAATTTGCACTAAATTTAAATGTCCAAGTCAGATCCTGTTGTCTTGTGTTTGCCAGGACACAAAGGTACATGGAGAAGTTAAAGTTACTGCAACTTTTAGCTACAGTAATGAAGGCAAAGACTAAACAAGTTGAAGAAGATTACCTCTGCAAGGGTGGCAATCGGTACCTCATCTCTATGTGAAGACTCCTTAACTTTCCAACTTCTGATCTCACACTCTATTGAATTCAGCTTCTCTCTTATCTCTTTCAATAGTTTCCGTTCTTCCTCTCTGTCTGCAGATACTAGTCTACCAGCCTGTCTATCAATCTCAACTATTTCTGAAGTCTGATTGAACTGTTGCAGCAACGGTTGAGATATAGAAACTTTTCCTATAGGATGAACCGTTGCAAAGTTGCAATCAACTTCAATGGCACTACTTGGTTTACAAAATGTTTTCTGTTGCTGGGAAGATTTTAGCACTTTCTGTAGCCAGTCACTTTCTTGTTCTTGAATGTATGGCTTAACAATCTCCTCAGAAACGGCATCTGGTTTTTCAACCTTGTTCTCATCTTGCAAAACCATCTTCTTCTGATTGTTTCTCTTCAATTGGCAATCATCATAACTCTCTTCCACCTGGGGGACTTCAAAGACATCAAGGACACCTGGGGAACAAGGACATTCAGTTGTTATTTCACTTTCCTTCACATTTCCTGGATGTTTGACCTTATCCATGTCATATGCTGTTGGTTCTCTTGTCAGATCATAGGGGTTTCCAGAGCTTTGTGAAAGCGGTGAAGGAGACCTCGTTGAACTTTGTAAGTTTGCATAGCTAACTCCTGCTATCTCTTTAACACGACCATCTAACTTTCTGATCTGCTCCAGATATGAGTTGATGTCTCCCATATTAGAATTATCTGTCTTTTTCTCCCAATCAGAACTCGATTCATTCATGTCCTGTGCTGTGCAATCTTCGACTGTCTTATGAACCAGATCTGTTTTGGGGCTTAAACAACTCTCTCTCTCAGTCACACCTTTCCTCATGCATGATATCAAAGTTAGGAGGGGTGCAGAATTTCTCCTTCCGATCCTTTTCAAATTCGTTTCCCCTACAAAAGATTCATTTCTTTGTAAGAGGTTTTCTGGAGACGTTGTTTCACCAATTCCTGGATCTTCACAACCCATGCTTAATAGCTTATACCTGTAAGCCTGCACTTGAGAATCCAAAGCTGCCATCTCCATATCTTTCTGATACATAATATCTTCAAAAATTGCTAATGATTCCTCTGCATATCCCATTTTTTCCTCTGCCAATCTTTTGTATTGCTCTGCTTCCATTTGCACAGCAGCTTTTTCTCCTTGTAGGCGCAATATCATAGACAAAGCTTCACTGGCAGCAGAAGAAGAGGCCTCTCTCTCTGCTTCCAACTCATTGTAAAGCTTCTGCAGCAACTGTTGCTGAGCGCAGAGGGTTTCTTTGAGGATATCTATATCAAAATTGTGTCTCCCCATGCCACTTTCGGCCATGGATTTTTCGACTAACCTGATTTGTTAGTAAGGGTGAAATTTAGAAAAACAAGAAGTTTAATACAGGAATGTAGTTAAAGTATGCATGTCTAAGTAAAATAGCTAAAACAGCAAATTAAATCATCTTTATCTTCTTTGACAACAGATTTTTGCTACAATGACAACGATGAGTCTTTAAATGAAATTGTTTAGGCTTTTCCTTAGCCCAGAGAATTGAGAAATTGGATAGACTAGCATGTAATATACATGGACTCAAAGACTTACCTCTCCTATCCCCAACCTAAACTTAATGATAACCAGCAACTTCAAATTCAAGAAATGCAGGATACTGATCATAATAACATGCGATGCTGCAGAAGGTAAATTGGCAAGACTTGTGAACTATAATAGTTCCCAACTCATACTGAAAATATAAGGGGCAAAGATTGAATAGCAATTGCTGAGCAACCATATGAAACATGGCAGACGGAACAACAAAATCAAGAACAACAGAGGAACAGCGTGGTTTTCACCTGGTTGAGGCTGAGGAGACTGATATCAAAGCTCAAAGGAAGACCACACCGAGGCAGAGAAACGACCACGATGATGACAATCAATCAAACTCCAGTAAAAATATTCCTTAGGAAACAGGAAAATCCCCGTAACTAACTCCAAAATACCAAGAAAAAGATGATCAATAAATGCTCGTCTTTTGAATCCCAGATAAGATTCCAATCGCAGAATTTCAAATTTGAAACAAAAAGCGAGGAAAGGGGAAGAGAAAGATGTTGGCCGTCTAAAATACTGGCGAAAAAGAAAAAAGAAAGAAGATGCAAAAAGAAGACCCCACCAAAACAAAATCAAGTGAAATGTATATTCTTTTGCATGACAAAAAGAATGAGCGCCAGATCATGTCAGCGTGATGTTCTGGGAAGGTTTTGACAGTTTAAGAAGCTTGCAAAGAGATGGGATCATTTTGTCTTTGTAACGGTTTCTTGATTTGTCTTTTACACGAAGGAGTTGGCTTTGGCTTGGCTTCTTGAACCAGGTTTCCAACCTCCAACTCCAAGCTTTCTTAATCTAAACGTTCCCACACACCAGTGAATTCGATTATTAACAGGATTTCATGTACCTGTAGGCAAAAATTTAACTTACAAGCTACACATACGAGGTAACAGGTCCAAATCCTCCATGATTTGGAGTTTTTGACTCATATTAACGTTCAAGGGGCTATCGACCTTTTTGTACTGTATAAGGTGTAAGGTCGTAGATAGCCTGATCTAAGCAGTGAATTTAAAATGTGATTTGGTTGAGGATATAAATATGAGTACAGGGTTTGTATCTAAACTTGGACCACAAATGTCTTGTATGCTTACAAAATGAAACGAAAAGCAAAAAATAACTTATTTGGGAATTGGTGGTGATGCTTACAGTGTTTGATTTAGTCAAATAGTATTAGGCTTGTTTTGGCATTTATTTCCTTGTCCCTCACTTGTTCTCTGAGTTATTTAGTTTGATTGTTGAGATAAATTTAAAATTTTCAGTTATTAGACAATATCAGGATGAATAAAAAAAATCATAATTCGAAAGATTACATGAAAAAATAGAGTGAGGTAGGGTAAATTGGATTTGTCTAACCCTACTTAATTAAAACTCGTTAAGATAGGGTTTCGGTGCTAAGTTATTAGGAAAAAGTGAAGTTAAATCTAATTACTTTTAAAAAAACATAAATGTAACTGCATGCATTGGAATTATTCGGCGTATAATCACATTTATTTTTTCTTATATTCACTTTTTCCCATACCCTATCTTAAGGAGTTATAATTAAGCATGGTTAGTCGGCAAATCCAAATTAGATAACCATAACAGACACACACCTCATGTCCCATTTTTTTTTTTTTCATAAGTAACGTGACATCTGACCAAATAACTAGAACTTCCGACTAAGGAAACCGAAATAAAAACATTTATTATCTATGATTAGACTAATAATAAATAAATCTTGAACGATAAATTGTGTTCTCACTGTGAAAGCTACCATTTTGATTAGGGTATCATGCACTTGCCATTTTACCTATTGTTTGTCATCATGATATATAGTTTTGCCCTTTGAAGATATGCCGTTCTTCTTCTCTGTTTTTGTAACAGATGTAGGCCTTCTTTTTGTTTTCTTCGAGAGTAAAAGTAATTATTGGTTGGATTTAAGGCGGTTCAATTTGATTAATCATCATTCCGCGTGGGGTCTAATCTAATCTAATGGGTAAAAAAGTCATGATAAGAAAGTTAAAAGGATTAACCTTAATGATTACTTTGGAATCTTTTAAAGGAGTTGTCATGGCAGCTTCAACGGCTTTGCTGAGGCAGGCAGGGTCCAGTCTTTGCCGCCCATTACTGCTTAAATACGCACACGTTTTACTACGTTTCCGGGTTTGATTGATTGAAGGACCAAATATTTGACTTTAATGAGTTCCAGAAGTTTGTAATCACTGATGTGACCAAATTGTCTTTTTTGTCATTACTGAAAACGAAGAAATTGAACTGAAATCACCAGAAAAGGGACAAATGCACCTTTGGGATTGCTCCAGGACTTAACTACCCAAACCCCAAACCCCCGAAAGCCGATGTGGAACAGAAACCCCACAGGGGCCAAGCCCATTGGATCCGCTGCTACCCGCTGCTACTAAGGGACCGGCTTTTGGGTTGACTTCTGGGATTAAGGTTTAGTTAGTCAAATTCCGTTTCCGGAAGAAGGAAGGGACAAATGCACCCTTAAGAACTGTTTAGAAGTGCAAGCAGTAACTGCATCTGCCATGCAGTGTGGTGTTTAAGCATAATTTTACTGAAAGAAGAAATCAATTGTCATGAAGATGAATTAGAATAGGAAAGAAAATGAAAGGGCTAAGATTACACTTTGATCTCTAAGTCAAACGTTGTTCTAACAAGGAAAAAGACACGTACATACAGCTTTGTTCAAACAATACATTAATTGTTGTTAACACCATTCTTCAATCTACTGGAACTTCAACTTCCATTCTTAAACCAGAGTTGCCAAGAATCTGCAAGAATTGTCAAAAATGTATGAACAGGAGGTCGAAATCCATAATAATGAACTTAGATAGTTTTTCTTGCACTCACGACAGTGACATATCCAATGAAGTCGCTTAAATGGACCTGAATAACAAGCAATCAAAGAGTTGCTTAGGCAATAATATTAGCAATCATAACCGGGTTTTGTTACCAAGCAAACATTTCAGAAAGTGAAATGGCTTAGGAGTACTCTTCACCTGAATAAAGCTCTAACCACTTGTTAAAAACAGAAGCCTCAAAAGTCATTGATTGGTTTAACTCAGTAGGTAATATGGAGCAGTCATATCCACGTTGTATCACATTTAAGGAAACGTTTCAGGAAGTTGGTTTGTGAGCACTCTTCACTTGAATAATTTCTAACCACTTGTTGGACAAAAGCTTTAAGCTTTTTCATTGCATTCGCCAAAATGGATCTCAGAAAACTACCTAACACGTAGTACTCCATGTCCTGAAATCCACCAGGCATGGTAATTCAGCCTCCTGTGATCATTCAAGCTACTGCCAACCCTATGGTTACCAATAAAAGCATGTCATAGGTCATAACCCATTTCTACTAAAATGATCTTAGCGGCGATGATCGTCAAAGATTACTGCAAAGGAACTATTAGCAGTCTAGCATGGACCATAATACAAATAATTAACTCGGAATCTTTTGTGTATTAAAAATCCATGGGTGTTTGAGAAAACTGAGCTCGTAAATGGTTTTAGTATTGCTAATGTAAGAGGAGAAGGTAACAAATTCACATCCTGCCTAGTGGTAAGGCTAGAGCTATGACATCTACTAAAAGGACCATCTAACAGGCAATTTAGAAAAAGGTTTAGCTTTCCTTTTTGGCAACTGCTGATTGTATGGCACATATTTGCCTTCTTTGTACAGGTTCAAGTTCAACTGCCAAAGGCAGTAAAACTGAGAAGAAAAAAATAAAAAATAAAACTGTGAAAGCGTTGAGTTCCCATGCACGTAATGGTTACATAAACTTGCTACCAGAAATTACAATGAAGAAACGTTATCAGAATTACATAATATTTAAAGGTCACATATAACTTCTTCGGACAAGCTCCAACCTCGGTTAAATGAAGAAGGTTCCATGTAACAAGAAACTAACACCTAGAAATCCATTATTTCACAATAAATAAAAAGAACCTGAATTCCCAAAAGAAAACAAAGATGGTATACTACGTATCAAACCAAAATCCTTCTGTATAGACTACCATGCACCAACAAAGATGCCTCACTGTTTCACCAATAAGAATTGCTAATATCATAAAAGAGCAAAAAATTTTCACATTATTCTAGCTAAATTTGACCGTTTTGAATATAAAATACCAAAAAATGCTTAAGAAAAGTGTCTTTTAGTCTTATAAGGCGCATAGAGGTCAAAACAAGATATTAGTTTTAGAGCTGCAGTGAAGCAGCATTTTAGTCCACTTCACACTTGCTAAAACCCTTTTCAAATCAAAATCATGAAAGCTTTCTGAAATTTTAATAGCAAAGAACAAGAAGGATATCATAGTAAATAGTATACACTCTATGGATTGAGTATAACAAAGATCTTTTAACATAAAATAGTTCAAAAATCACAACAAAGTGATGCAGGAGCAATCAAGTTCAAGCAAAACTGTGTAACAAATGAAAATAATTCTGGAAGCATTTATCGAACATTCATCGAGGCATGCTTTCATATTACCCTCATCTCGTAATGTCAGAAAACTAAAAAAGCATTCTTTTCTATTTTAGCCATTTGATGCTCTAAAAGTTGTTTAAGTTGAGGTCATTCCCATCCTTTTGATAATTATGCTAAACTTAAGTCAAATAGTTATAACAGATGTTGAAAACTAGTATACCTTTTCATAATATGTCTATACAGATCGTTAAGAGGAGACTTTGATACTTAAACCCCTCAATCTCTAATTTTGGTCCAGGCACTCTCTCTCTCTCTCTCTCTCAAATGCAGAAAGACACTCATACCAACACCCACACACCCATAGAAAAGCATTTTCCATTTCTCAACTCTTAACATTCAATATCTTTCCAATTCTTATTTCTGCAGAGGTACTCTCAGAGGTTACAAAACATAGTTGGCCATATAATATGGAAAAGGATATCCGCCACTATCTGCAAAAGTAAACTAAATAATAGGGATAGTCTTACCAACCACGAGCTCCAGCATAGTGATTTAAGGAATACATTCAAAAGGTGCAGTCGTGTCCTTTTGCTATTCTTGTCTTATTATTAGAATATATGTGAAACAGAACTTCAAGCAATTAGAAGTCAGGCACCAAGCATTTATTGAACTGAACGTAACTATATAGAAGACAAAATTAAACAGTGATCATTACTCTTCGTTAAAGAATTCAGTCCAAACGTTTCCACAGCACCGCATGACAATTAAAAGCTTTGGGCTTTTTAGAGTAAGTGCGTCATTTAACATGCTATGTGTATCACCAGTGCCCTAAAGAACTCCGAAAACTACACAAGGCATAAAGGTTTTCGAAAAGCTATTTGAAGATGCTTTGAGCATCCGTTTAGTACGGATGTTAATCCAACATCTACATCATGTTGATACACATAGCAAAATCTTTTGAGGACATCATTGTAGCAAACTATAAAAGGAGGTTTGTAATTGAGAAGGACAACTTTCAATAAGTCCCACGAGTCATAGAAACTACCATCAAGAAGGATGTTTACCTGATAATTTCTGAAACAATTCTACTTCATCACAGGATGAGTTCTACTTCATTAAAGGACCAGGTTTTCTTTCTTTTCCCTCTTTTTTTTTTATGCCGCTGGTCGCTTCCTTTTCTCTGTGTTCTTGTCCTACATTTTTTCCCTACTATGTGCTCTTCCTAGGACAGTTTTATTCCTTTTATACATAATAGTTTTGAAACATTCACCATCCATGCATAGACATCAAGGATGTTTTTTGGTCATACCTACCAAAATTGTACTTGATTTTTCAATTCGACATGCCAAAAGAGGCATCTGCCACAACACTACCAGGCCAATGGCAGGAAGTTAAAAAGGTCAAAGGTCTATGAGTGTTGAATGCCAATTAATATTCTAAATAACTATTATAATGGAGATTAACCATTCATCAAATTTATGTACCATAAATCTCATATCCTACTTAAAGAAGGGAAGCAACCTTGAAGCCCTTCCAATTTGTCTTCCATCAATAACTACCATGACATCACCAAATTCACCAAAATAGGTCTAAGTCACATCATATTGCAAAAATTTTCTTGGATTTAATCTATTGGAATAATATTTCAATTTTAGTAGAAACAACTGGTAAAAAATCACTCTTGCAAAAACAATAAAAGATAAACCACGCACAGACATATTACTTATTGCAAAAGGATGTGACGTGCATGTACACCTCAATATGAACCTTTTCTTAGAAGGGTATAATATAACTTAAAAATGAAAATGTATGTGTGTGTGAGAGAGAGAAAATTTGAATTTACATGTTGAGCACAAGTTCTTTCATTTAAAGTAAACAAAATTTGACAGTAATATATGGCTGCCAGAGCAGACAGTGAATAATTACCTTCATAAAATCAGATTGTACCAGAAAAGAATCCTTATTGTAGCCTGCTTCTTCTAGAACTCGGGTGAGAACTTGCTGCAAGAACCAAATTGCAGATAAAAAAAATGAATTATAACACCAGGCCTCATTTCGTTGTTCAAATGATTTATTTGTGTTTTCCAAGTTTTAGCCTCAGTGCAAGAGGGGAAAAAGATAAATTGCGAGGAAACAATTCCGTTTTGAGGCAGTGACAAACCAACCTCTCTTTGCTGTTCTGATATAAATTGTCCAGTTAAGTCTCGCAAAATGTCCAACATATCATGGAATGCGACCTTGCCATTTCCAGCAGTATCATAAACCTTAAAAATGACTGGGAAACAGAAAGTATATGTAAATCAATTGGGAAAAAGGAAAACTGAAACCAAAAAGCTAAAATTTTCTGACTAATTCAGAAAGGTGCAAAAAGGAAGACTATTTACATTCCACTTTCTGCTGCAAGCTTGCACGGGAACTGAATGCTGACAAGAAGGCAACGAACTCCTTAAAGTTCAAACCCTCCAACATCCTTAATAGTCTCTGGATTAGCAAACAAATATCAAAAACATAATCAAGCATGAGCAACCATCTTCTTCTTTCAACTGCAGCTAATACCCATAAATACACCCAAGAAAATTAAAATTAAATATCACAATGCTTCTATCTTCCCATAAAGAAAATTTTAGATAACCAGCTATTTCTGAACATAAATTGCGAGTCTGAGATTGAATAAAACCATGTTCAATTGGACGGAACCTATAGCAAATGCTTATATGTTAGGCCTGAAAAAGTATTTGTCAGCAAAAAAGAACTAATTTCAAATGGCTGTATTTTTTGAACTAAGTTTGCACGACAGAAAGAAAGGCAGAAATTCCACCTTATGCCACCAACATGGTTCTAAACATGGTAGAACAAGGTTCTCTAATGTAACCAAACAGAAACTTCTTTTTCCAATTTCATGAGATTTTATTTGAGAAATGCAATCATCAGAACAAGTTTAAACCTTTTCCATAATTTTTCCCAACCATGTGCATAATCCCGTAGGCATCACAGTCAGAAAATATCTTTACATAAATCATACACAAGGTTACCTCAGTCTAAGAAGAACTAGATCAAGTTGTCTGAGTCCAACAACTTTACCCATGAAGCAATGTAGCACACACATGTGATGACTAGGCAGTTCAATGTACATATATGTAATGTTGGATTGGATTCCCACTTATTACTGTATAAGATTGAATACATGCGACGGAAACATAACCATTTTTTCGCTAACTAATATTGAAACATATTCAACCTGGGAAAGAGGATTAACGGCAAATTCGGGCACAGACAAGAATTCATCAGACGAGATGAATCCGATCCCATTTCGATCGAGCTGGCAGAATCTCTGGTAAAGTGCAACTATCTCCTGCTGCGAAACTGCCACCAAATTAAAAAAAAAAAAAAATCGAGGATGAGTATACAAAAATAAGCCAACTAAAACCCAACAAATGGCCTCAAATGCAGACACCCCAGAAAAGAAAAAAGGCCTCAATTTTGAGGGATTTGTCTAACATAAACAACCAATTTTGCAGACCATCTAGATAATTAAAACAGCAAAAAAAAACTGGCAATGGAGAAGCAGAATGATATGTAGGTACAGGTATGATTGCAGTGCTGTTGGACTTCTTCAATGTCGTACTGGGTCAGCATAGAAGAGGAATTTCCCATGGATTTTATCTTCTTCGGAGGAGAGAAGATCTCAAATCCTAGCTACTAGGAGAAGCAATTGAATATGAATTCAAGAAGGTGAAAAATGTGTTAGATTAGATGGGCTGCTGGGCTCTTAAATTTCTGGTCGAGTGGTTGGGTGGTAGATGGAATCTGGAAAGGAGGACCACGAGGGAAATGCAATAAAATCGTGAAAAACGTCTCTAATATTTTACAAAATAACTTTTTTTATTTATCACTTTTAAAAGTATAATTTTACGCCCCTCACAAATTCAGATTGATCAAATTTTATCCATTTCTAGGTTCTGATTAGTTTTTTGTCGGAATTCACTTGATCATTTTTTAAGACCAAAATTGTTAAATCAAATTTTACACTATTCGATTTATAGTCCCTCATTTTTTATAAAATGAATTTTTTATCCCTTATACTTCACAAAATAAATTTTTTTGTCTCTCATATTTCACAAAATAAATTTTTTCATCTTTTATATATTTACAAAATAAATTTTTCATTCCTCATTGATCATGTGTATGAATAATTTTTGTTTAAACTCATGTATATATCTATTTAATTTTATCTGAACAATATGAATAGCATGTGTACAACTACAATTAACCTATTTGAACAAAATCAAATAGTAATATGTTATTCATATTGTTCAGATGAAATTAAATAGATATATACATGGATTTAAAAAAATGTTAATTTTTCACTCATGTTCATTTCCTTTTACTCAAAAATTGAAAACAAATAAGAGATTTAATCCTAAACATTGTCGAATGTTTATATCAAATTAAATTTGGACAAAAAATAAACAAAAGAAAAGTATGACAGGAAGAAGTAAATAATTGGTACTTTTAAATTTTAAGACAATCACAAGACAAGTAATTCAACTATTGGTCTTAAAAGTAACGAGTATAAATTTTAGATTTAAATTGTAATTTGTTAGCATGACTATAGAATTCGAATTAGAACTCATTAATTAAATGACCTTATTATACAATTCAATAAATGAATTATCATCAAAAGAGAAAAGGCCACAAGTATTGAACAAGTTCATGTGGTGAAATCAAATAGATATATACATGGATTTAAAACAAAATTGTTAATTTTAAACTCATGTATACATCTATTGAATAGGATGTGTGCAATTATAATTAATCTGTTTAGGTAAAATCAAATGAAAATATATTACATACTATTCGTACTATTCAGGTGAAATCAAATAGATATATACGTAGGTTAAAAAAAATCTATTCATACACATGATCAATGAGAGATGAAAAAAATTCATTTGTGAAATGTGAGACACGAAAAAATTCATTTTGTGAAATGTGAGGGGCGAAAAAATTCTTTTTGTGAAATGTGATGGATTATGGATCTGATTATGTAAAATTTGATTTGATAATTTTGTCTCTAAAAAATAATCATATGCAACGCACGTGGTGGATTCTGACAAAAAACTAGTTGAAAATCTAGGTAGGGACTAAATTTGATCAATGTGAGTTTGTAAGAGGCGTAAAATTACACTTTTAAAAGTGAGGGACGAAAAAAATTATTTTGTAAAATGTGAGGGACGTTTTGAACGATTTTTCCTAAACAATAATTACAAAATCGTTAATTACGCTCGAGTTTTTCCATTTTTAATTCATTGCTATTTACATTTTTGTTTTATACAACATGGGAATAGATTCACTCATATGTAATTTAATTTGGGACAAAGCTTCAAAATTAATGTGGAACAAGATTATGCTAAAAATTATATGACGTTCACCTAAGACATTTCATTCTTGATCATCTTTGATAGCATTAGCAAATCGGTCATGAGATTGTTAACCAAGGAAAAAAAAAAAGGTTAAAGATATGCTAGTGAAAGAAGAATCGAGTTATTATATGCTTCATTTATTTATAGTTAAATATCTTGTGAATTCAAAATATAGATGCAGGCATATCTATTGATAGATGACAATACGTAATTAAATATCAATGACAGAATTATCAATGGAATTGGAAAGAGTATAAATTATACCCTTTCTTCGCCAAATCAAATATTTTTATGTACTAAAGTGTTGTGTTATTAGTAAAATTGAAAAATGCTCTATTTATGTCGATTAGTTCCAAAGATTTATTGGCAAAACAAGAAAAAAAAAAAAGCTTTAAACATGTTCTTGTAAATAAACAAACAAAATTAATGCATGAACAAAAACAGGTTAAGTTCGGTACTTGCTTGCTAAATCAAATGGTCTTTTGTTGCTTGTTACTCTTGTGCCAGCCACTAATACATGGGGTACTTGAAAAAAAAAAAAAACTAATCGACACAAAAAATTGCAGATCAGACAGGCTGGTCAACGACTGGGGGCCCAAACATTAATTTGTTGGGCTCTGTTAGGATGAGCTGGGCTTCTTTTCTTAATCATACGGGCTTCTCGAGGGATTTTCTACCCCACAAAAGTGTAACCGAAACTGACGACGTGTAATGTCAATTCGTCAGATTTCGAGCAGAGCTTTTTTTTTTCTTTTTATTTTTTTTTGTTTGGGAGAAACCATTTGAAGCTTTCACACTTCACACACACACACACACACTGAGACACAGTCCCCCTTCCCTCTTCACTCTTCCAATTTACTCAAATTCAGAGGAAATCAAGGCCCGTTTCACTTGAATTCCTCTGCAGCAAGATGTCCCAGCAGCCATCCCAGGCCAAGAGCCCAGCAGATGAAAATCACTCGGTTAGTTTTTCCTTTTTCCATTTTTTGCTGTTTGCTTCAGAATTTGCAATTTTGTCTATTTAAGAAGTGATTATTTTTTGAGCCTCCTGAAAATGAGTTGAATTTGCTTGTTACTTTATGTGCATGTGGGTTTTTGCTGGTTCTTTGCTCAGTATGGTATTTTTATTGTTAATTTCAGTTTCTTGCATTGAACTGTTTCTGTATATTGTAAATTGACCCCTTTTGCTACATGAAAAATTTAGGAACCCCGAATGGTGAATTGAGATTATTGTTTGCTAAAATTTGACTGGCTGAAATTACTAAATTACCAGGTATTTTTGAGCCTCCTGAAAATGAGTAGAGGGATTTTGTACGAGAAATTTCTTTGTATATATAAAAACATGTTTATCTATTAGGGCATTGCTGGAATTTACTGATGTTTTAACTTTGTGAACTAGGATCCATAAATTTACTGGTCTTTTTGCACTTTTGCTAATTGATTCACGGTCTAAATTGATTTACATTTACCTTTTTCTTTATTACGGTGGAATTCACTGTTGTAATGGATTTGCTTTTGGATAATTGTTTGTTTGTTTAATGCAGGAGATGTACATTCGAGTTAAGCGCAGCAAGACCACTTACTTCTTGCAATGCCTTCCCAGTGAAAAAGTTTTACAGATCAAGGAGAAGTTGCAGATCCTAATTGATCAACCAGTTAGTGACCAGCGATTGATTCTGTTGCCAAATAAAGAAGTACTTGATGATTCAAAGTCATTAGCTGATCAGAAGGTACTGCCTAAATCTTTACAAATTGATAAGACAAATGTTGCATGCATCAATTGTTGTTAGAGTGTACATGGTGTCCATTATTTGGGTTTATCATGTGCCATTGTTTGTTATCTACCACTCATTAATTTCTTCCTATAGATTTGCCTATTGCGTTCACTGATGTGTATTAAATCTGTTTAATTGAATATCAGGTTGAAAATGATGCAGTTGTGGCACTAACCTTGAGAAAAGGTTCTCTTCTTCCTTTTCCTTTCTTTTTAGTGTCAAATTTGTTTTACTGAACATTACTATTTGTTACTTGGGGTTTCTGGTGTTATTATTCCAGTTGTCTGTGGTTATATTGAACCAACCCTTAGTATGAACCATTTAGATAACATCAGGTTGTAAGAATGCACAATTAGATATATAATGGCAAAGAAACCAAGAGGCTAGGGGCATTTAAGTGATTGATGGAAAAGAAGTTGTGTGACAAATTGCAGCACAAGTAGAGGTCATTGGTTTAGTTAATTGGAGAAGTTATTGTATTCTGGTTGTCTGATGTAGCCTTTTTATCACTGTGGGAGATGGCTGGGGAACTTTGGTTTTTACAGCTTTTAGCTTTGTTAGGATGACATACATTTGTGCATATCCCTTGTAGGAACTTCTGCAACGAACTTTCTGTTTGCTGACTGAAATTACAAATTTTCTAGTATGATGATAATAAAGAGTGATCTCACCCAGTGAATAACCTGGAAAAGAAATCCTTACTGAAATCTGTTAATTTGTTTATCAGTTTCTGTCTTTTGTAGTGTTGAGAACATAGATATTTAGATTAGTTATGCTTGACTTCCTTTGAGGTTTAGGAATAATGTTCTTTTTTCTAGTCAATTTGGAACTAGAAAGGCAGTTTCACATTATATACTTATCCTTCATCTTCAAAATAACATCCCTTTTATATGACACATATGGCCTTATTTTTTGAGTTTTTGTTGCATACAAGTTTGTCAACTTTGGAAGCTGCATCTTCGTTAGCCTCATGAGGGCACTGTGGAATAGAAAAAAGGAAGCTTTCGAGAATCTAGAGTTTCGATTAGATGGATTGAACTACAGTTGCTTTAGTAGCTTATGCTGTGGTGTGGGGAAGAGATTTAGGAAAATACACAACCAAGGTGGTTGTGAACCTGCCATATATCTTAAAAGCATACCTCTGCTTACCTTTTGCACAGTCATGCCCTCTTGCTGCTCTTTATGCCATTCTTCTTGCATACAGAAAAAGAAAATGTTATGTACTTCAACCCTGAGGGAGTTTCGCTATAGGTATTTGGTAACTCGAATCTCTTTTACCTGTTCTTTATACATCATACTTTTGCTGCCTTCCATCCCGAGCAACCAAGATTGATTTGATCCCTCTTCCATTTTGAGACAGTAGTAAACTGGTAGACTGGTGTATGCAATGATTCCACTACTATTGCTGTCATGCATAATCATCCTTTGATGTTTACCTTTGGACAAAATTAGAACTGGTAACTTCTTGTCAAATCTTTGTTCATAAGTAGTAGTAGGATCAGCACAAAGCAACAGTTGTCCCAAATGGATTCAAGCTTCATTGATGGATATTAGTTGGTTATGGAGCTTGACAGAGAGATGATTTTTTTTTCTTTTTTTGGAGATGGTTACATATGG